GCAACACTGTAGATACACTGTTACCAGGACCCAGATAGGGGCCCAGTATCCTGTACAAAGATGCTTTCTTTTCCTATAAATAAGTTTGTTTTTCTTTAATTAAGAGCAGGTTTTTAGAAACCCTCTCTTCCGTTTTGCACTCTCTCTCTTTCTTGTAAACTTTTCTTTCTAAGTTTTGTAAGCTTGCCGAATTTTGGCCGGAATAATAAAGTGTGCGATTTGGTAACAACAAGGTACTTTCTTTTCTCATTCTTCCTGTCTTTTACTTTTATAAATTCTCCGATCTAAGCCAAGACTATGTCTGGCTAAAAAATATATCTATGCCGGATAACTAACTTCTCTGTTATATAGACCATGAACAGATCTAAGTTTTATTTAAATATAGAAGAATTTTAGTATGGCTTCTCGACTTGGTTCTGAGATTGAGGTACAGTCAGATCTAGTACTACTTTTATTGGCTTTGTCTTTATGACTCCGTCTGATGAGCCGTGGTTTTTAGCCCGAAAAAGAGTTTGATAAGTAGGGCGCCTGATACCCGGTTAGAACTAATCAGACACATAGGCTCAATAAAAGTATGTATTAGCTTCTTGACAGACCCTATGTTTAGGTAAAATAATTAAACAATGCAGTCTGAGAAAGTATGTTAAAATTATTGTGTATTTTGATTCTTATGTAGTTGGACTACCTCTAAGGATATTGACTTGCTTGATCTATGACTGGGCAGACTACCGCCAGGTCAGTGATCCTGTATTTTGGTATCAGAGCAATTTTTTAAATTATTTATTTTAATAGAAAATATTTTTTTTAAATTGTTATTTTTATCATTAAATAACTACATAAAATATTAATAATTAAATTTTAAATTACAAAAATATTATTAATAAAACTAGAGTTATGTGTAAATATCAAACACTTGTTACAAAATTACACATTAAATATTTTGAAGTTATAAACATAGAAAGCATGGTTATGATTATTATTAGGTGTTTGACTATATAATTCATATATTTTTTAACTGTATTGAAATATATGCCTTAGAGTTGAAAATAGAGTTATGTTTTATTTTTGCAAAAAAATATTCAAAATAATGTTCATATTATATATAAATACAATTTCAAAAGTGAAAGTGAGTTGAAAAAACACATTATACGAACATGTTTTCCAAATTTAAAATATACCTTAAAAAAGAAAAGGTTGTGTTTTAAATTTTCATGGTCAAAAATTAATTTTTAAATAAAGTGAAAAATTATTTTATAAATAATTTTTTATGCTTAAATGGGTGCTAAAAGTAGAAGTTAAAAAAGACATGAAATATGAAGGCGAATTTTTTTAAAGTACAATAAATGAAAAATGAGAGAAAAAGAAATAAAAATAATTTTAGTGATCGATTTTCATGACATAAGTGACCATTCAAATAATTAACTTGAATTTTTTTTATGTTCATAGCCTTTAAGTATAGGGACCTAAATTATATAATACTGAAAATTATAATTTGGAAAATATATTCCATTAAACAAATAATTATAAGAATAATAATTATTTTCATTCGTATAAACTGAAGGAGAAGTTGAACTGATTTTAAAATAAAATAAAATAAAATAAAAACATAAAACAAGAGAAATGAAGAAAGAGAAGAAGAGTAAAAAGGAGAAACAAAAGGGCAGGAAGGAAAATAAAGTATGGCCCATGAATCAGAATATAATATTAATATAATAGTCCCTCATACAACTAGTACTAGTTGTATCTCATTCATCATAAAAATTTTCGCAATGGGCTGGTGGATGTGGGGCGGGTGGGTTTAAGGTTATATGGGGAGGGTGGGTTTAAGATTGTGCGGGCTGGGTGGGATGCGGGGCGGGTTGAAACAGTTTTTTTTTAAATTTATGCGGGACGGAGTGAATTGCGGGTATATGTGATTTTATGTGGGTTCAAAGTTAATTTTAACTTTTTGCATGTTATAAGAGTGATAAAACATTATTTATTAAGATAATTTCTTTAAAACTACTAAAATGAAAATGGTTCAATAAAAAACAATACAATTTCTTACATGTTTCCTAATTGACCTCTAAAAATAATTTTTTAAGTCACTATCCTATTAAATTAATACAACTTAATGAAAAATAAATTTATTTGTATGAATTTTATTTTTAGTATCAAACTTAACTAGAAAAAGAAAATATTATAAAAATTATTCGGGACGGATTCATGCATGTGGAGCAGGTCTATGCAGGGCGGGGTGGAACGGATTGAAAATGAAAAAAATTGTTATGCGAAGCGGAACAAATAAAAAAATTTACGGGTTAAGCTCAACCCGCCCTGCCCCGCATCGCCCCATTGTCATCCCTAATTCTATCATATTTTTTTGTATCATCACTAGCAATCTCAAAAATAAATCAACATTCTCTAGAAGTAAAAAAATAATAGTAGTAAATAAAGAATTTTTTTAAAAGTGCTTAAAAGTTATTTTGACATAAAAACACTTAAAAATAAGACAATCTGCTCTTATAGTTTTAGAACTTATTAAGCACTTTTAATTTGACCAGATCTTTTATAATTTAATTCGTTATATCTTTTATAATCTTCAAATACTCTTTCTAAAACATAATAATTTTTATTTACTTTTGAGAGAAGTATTGAAAACACACTCCTGAACTTGACGCAAATTATTAGTTTCGTCTCTGAACTATTGTCAGCTTTAAAAATACCTCTCTACTTGAATAACTAAACTTAGATATACCCTCGATCTGCCACATGACATATCAAGTAGTCTCAAATTCTTGTAGAAGCATGATGTTCTTAATAAAAAGTCGATAGAAGTTTGAATATACCTCTAAACTTGGCGAGAATTTAGGGTTGTATTTCACTCATGGATCGGTAGTGTATTATTAAATTAAGTTTAATTAGTCAAGTAAATGAGTGTTTTCAAGACTGTCAATAATTAAGGGATGAAACTAATAGTTCACGTTGAGTTTAGGGGTGTTTTCAATACTTCTCTCTTTATTTTTCTATTCTATTTCCGTTATTCATATTTTCTTCAAATGTAAAGATACTTATAAATTTACAATTTTATAAATAATTTCAAGAACATTTCAATAATTTTAATGGTGAGATATGTATCATCACCTTTTAACAATTTTATATATATATATATATATATATATATTAACCGTTAATTATCAGTTTCAGTATTTTTATTAAAATATAATTACTTATTATAAAATTGGCATCAAACACAGAAAAATAATTTTCTATACTGGATGTTATAAATTATTTTTAATCAATCTAGAAGTATGAAAAAGTTTGAAATTTATTACTAGTGAAAAAAAATCGTTTTCATTTCATTTTACAAGCATGTGCTTATCTCTTTAGAAAAAGTCGACAACTACTTGTGATGATGTCAGAAAAACTCCTCTCCTTAAGGGACAACCCAATGGTTAAGAGACCACTTATTAATTATGTAAAAGCTTTAAGTAATTTAAAGCCATTTTCTTTAATTTTATTTGATTTTTTTTTCTTTTTTCACTTTTATTCGTTATATATGAAAAGGCTAACTGACGTTCTTCTATTAGCTAGATCAACTTGACTCTTGAATATGCATCTTATGTTTTAATATTAGATGGTCTTTCGAGTCTTTAAAGTACTAATGATGTTTTAATTCAAGATTTTTCAGTGCCATTTCGTTTGGATCAACAAGTTAATTAACTATTGACTCTTGAATATATGAATCTTATGTTTTAGTATTTATGCTTATGTACGTACCATGACTAAAATACTATCAAAAGAAAAAGGGAAAAAACACATTTCAGAACTGTGACATTCAAAAGTCATGATAGATTTCACATTATATTTAATTTAGCTATAAATTAATAGGATTAATCATAAATCTTGTCAAATCGTTTACCTATCAATGCAATGAGAGGGTATAGCATAAAAGAAGAAGATAGTAAGAAGAATCATGTTAATCAAGTCATGACTTTTCAAGTCCGTAAAATATAAGTTTGGTTTGGTAGAGAGAAAGGCCAAATTTGTGGAGAAAATATAATGATCTCTTACTATAATAGGTGGGAAATCTCAATAGAAAATATTACACGAATTCTCTATATTAATCATTAATGAAACAATCTTTACATGGACTAATATAATGTGGAGTAAGTTTGGAGTTCCATGATTGTCAACCTAGGGGGGATGATAGATAGCAACATAGTTTAAAATTAGGATGTAGAATTCTAACGTTCAGATATTTACACTAAATTAATTTAATACTTAATTTATGATTATAAATTTATAATGTAGTATCCTAATACTATAATACAATAGATAATCAAAGGGCTATATAAGCACCATCTATATACATGAGTTAGCAAGAGAAAACATAAAAAGTTAATTAGCATATTTTTATACTCTTAAGTGTGCCACTAGCATTCTACAAACAACGTGGCAGGATGTAAGTGGACATAATATTAAATCCTAAAACTAGAAAAGTATAATATTGGTTTTAGTTAGGATATGGGAGGAATAAATTCTACCACTAAGTCAGCGTCGTAGGGATCAGACGTATTTATATAATGTAATATTGACCTTTTGATTATTATTTTTCTCGCCTGAGGTACGAAATTCACGAGCTTTGATTAAATTTGAATCGCGTACTGTTCATTCGGAGGTCGCGCTCCCAACACTGGGGTCAAATCCGAAGATCTCTGATTAATTAAGGGTGAAACAGTCCCACTGTACCACAACCCATGTTGATGGACTTTTGATTCTTGCCACACAACTAAGTAAAGGCATGATGTAGGTAAGTGGGATAGGTGTCATTTTCAAAATTAGGGCAAAGAGGAGAAGGTGGTCCATATATATAGTTCTTGGCTCTTGCAAATCTAAACCTACCATCAAATAGCAAAGAAATATAAAAATTTTCATATTATTGTACCATGGCACAATCAAGAATCTAGAATCTATCCAAATATCTCAAAGAATTTTCACTTTTCCCCATCTCCTTTTTTCTCAAAATACAATAAACTATTAAGATTATCCAAATCCCACCACCTTCAACAATATCATCATGATCATTTCCCCCCTATATAAATATCCCTTCATAACATTTCCATTACCATCTCAAAACCAACTCTCTAGTCTCTAGCAAATCCAACTTCAAGAAAACAACTTATAAACCCTATATATTTCATAAATATAAACAAATCAAATTAAATAATAATCGATATGGATCGTGTAGTGAAAATTGCATCACAAAAGGCAGTTGTGATATTTAGCAAGAGTTCATGTTGCATGTGTCATGCAATTAAGAGGTTATTTTACGAGCAAGGTGTTAGCCCTATGATTTATGAACTTGATGAAGATATGAATGGACGCGATATGGAGAGATCTCTCCTCAGGTTAGGCTGTAGCCCGGCTGTACCAGCCGTGTTTATTGGTGGTCGATTTGTGGGATCAGCTAACACTGTTATGACACTTCATATCAATGGTTCACTCAAGAAGATGCTTAAAGATGCGGGAGCTCTATGGCTTTAGTGATGAGACACCCTTTGCTTATATATATATATATATATA